CGTATGTGTTCCTTCACCTTCAGGTGCTAATTCTGAGGACCCATCGGCTACAGCCTGGTTTCGCAACATCTTGCGTGGATTCGAGAAAAAGTATCCCGGCATACCCGTCTATTTCACGGGTCATAGTCTCGGCGGCGCTTATGCAACCCTCCTAGGTATTCGGTATTCTAGTCCTTGCTTGCGTAACAGGCTGCGTCTGAACGAACTTACCTTACCCAGGCGCTGATGTTCTTCTCAACCCGACGGTCCCCGAAGTACCCAAAATACCCGCAGTACCCGATCCCCATGGCCAAATCATCAATTTCAAAGGGTTGTACACATTTGGGTCTCCCAGGGTCGGAACGAAAGACTTTGCACGCCAGTTTGAGTACGCCAGACTGAATTATCCGTCTGGCGCCAAATCTCGACCGGAAGTACTGCGATTCGTCAACGGAAAAGATATCGTAACCATGCAGCCGCCCGTGGGTTACAAGCATGTCGGTACAGAAATTCGTCTCGGAGACCGGCCCATGTGGAAGCTTTTTTCGGTGACCGATCACTGCGAGTTGGATTTTGTTTCATTTAGCCTATATTAACTGAACATCCGTCCACTAGTCGGTGCGTCCTACTGGGAAGCAATTAACAACAAGATTGCGAAAAAATAAATGCATTAGAAACCATCCGTCAAGTGAGTCGTTCTGCGTTGTTCAGGTCGAAATTAAGAACTTCCTTTAGCCGATCATCGACTCATTGTTAGACAAACTTGATGTATCCCCCTCTCTTGTACGCCATTTTGTTGAACTTCCTTTAGCCGACCATCGGCCCATTGTTAGACGAACTTGTTGTATCCCTCTCTTGTACGCCATTTTGGCCCCATCGATTGTAGAACCTCTTGAACAGATCGTTTTTTCCGTCCATGACCATTGACCAGTGACCATGTAGGTTTATTTATGGGTGGAATTTTCAACTGACGTGGTCTTCGTCCAAGTAACTTATATGTGAGGAAGAAGCGGGAACTGCAAGGGTAGAAACTTGGAACTTTACCCGCATGACTCGGGGACTCCGCGTGCAGGAACCAGTTGTCCGTGACACTCGCCAGAGGATTGTGAAGGTGGTACTGGCACGGTTTGAGCATTTTGGCGTCAAAACAACATCACAGTCTTGCCCGCTAATTAGAATTTCGCTTTTTTTGAGTTCAAATCAACACCTCTAGCACCGCCAAATTGTTGGCCAGTAAGTGCTTTCACACCCGGTCTACGGTCCCGGACAATTGTTTCCACGACCTATGGTGGCGATTTCGCAGCTCAAGGTTTCAAGCGACACGAGACATTGGAGAATAGTTTTCCACCCGTTTAGCTGCTGGAGTCCGGTGTGCACTGGAACCATCGTGGACTTGTGAAACTCTGTAAGCTAGTAGTACTTGGCGATGTTCCGGGTCGGGCTCTGAACCCAGGGCCCGACTCAAGCCCGGGGCTTTTAAAACCGACCCGAGCTCGGGCCCAAGCCGGGCTCAGGGTCGTCGGGCTCGGATCTTTCAAAGGCCCACGGCCCGGGCTTGGGCCCCGGCCCGCTTGCATATTTCAACTATCAAGATCCTTCCTTGAAACAAAATTCGGTGAGGCTTCTGACCATCGCCCCACCGATCCCAATCTCGAGAGCCCAAACCGATGAGATTATAATGCCCCTAAGTTCTGTCTGAATCTCCGCGGACCCATGGTCAGATGCCAGTTGATATTTGGTTCAATTGCTGTTTCCTCCGACTGCAGTGGTTCCCAGCTATTTCCACCCACTCCATTCGGGTGTGGTGCACGGCGCACGACAGTGGGTCCTTCCAACTCACCATTCTAGAAAGAAACTGTTAGCTGCTGCACGGGGTTCGACTCCCGTACCCGAATGCAGGGTTGTTTCATCGTTTTTTCCCCTTCTCCTCGACAATTTCCTGCACCCCAATAATTTCCGAGTAATGTGATCCCTAAACCGATCGCGAGATTCGCAGAATTGGTCCGTTTTGTCTCCATGCTTCTGTTCGGAGCTAATTTCTGATTTGAATATTCTTCGCGGCCGCGGATGCTGCCAGCCCCGCAGTCACCTCTACCGATTTCCACCCATCCATTCAATCCAGGTGTAGTGTACGGCGCACTGCAGCGGCTCCTTCCATTCGAGGATTCTAAAAATGTTAACTTAGCTGCAGCGCGGGGTTCGACTCTCCGCACCCGAATAGGCTTCCAACATTTTTTGCCTTCCGCTTCAACTTGAACTATTGTTCAAACAACCATCCTTTCCGACCGCATTTTTACTCGAGTCATTGTTTTTCTGCTTGTAAAATGAAAAAACCAGCCGTGGGAAAAAGCCATTCGAGATTCGAGACTTCAGTAATCTCGCCCGCTTATAGGTATTCGGAGTCCAAGTTGGATAGTCAACTCGGGTGTGGTGTACGGCACACGTCATGGGTCGATTACATGTATTGTAAACGCAGAGTCACTGCAGACTGGGTTCGACTCCGCGCACCCGAATAAATGGTTGATTCAGTCCTTTTTGTTTTTATTGACTCATAGACTTTACTCTTAATGAAATCCTTTTCAGCACCCCTTTCTTTTCTTTCCGGAAGGCCATCTTCTCTTTGTTCAAAAAATCCACCTCATAAAACAACCTGTGCAAGTTCCCGCTTCGACAATCGTGGCTGGTTGAATTTTGAACATGCCCACCTCGAATGTAGTGCACCCTGCACGGCGGCATTTTTTTCATGGTCATTAAGTGTTCATCGGCCATAGCACAGGGTTCGACTCCCCGCGCCCGAACCATTGGAAAGGGGTACAGTTTTTATTTTACTTTACTTTTCTTCAACTCTTCCTCCAATTCTTATTGCACATGCTCGGGCAAGACCGATTCGAAAACAAATGTAGTGAGTTTGTAAGCCAGGAAGGGCGGATGATAGGCCAACTATAAAATGCTCAAGCGTGACGAGGATCGCGTTTTACCCACACATCAGACTCGGGTGTGGTGCACGGCGCACGGCTAGATCCCATGGTGATAAGTTAGCCTGGGGTTCGGCTCCCCGCACCCGAATTGCGCATCACAACTTGTTGAACATTTTTCTTTACAATTGTATTCATGCAGAACGAAAAGACAGCTGACTCGGCGGACTTCGGCTTTCGCGGGAAAAAAAAAACAATGCAATGGAAATTGGCATGAAAAACGAAATTAAACGCAAGGCCCCAGTGACGAGGGACCGCACAACAGTTCGTTGTGTCACTGGCAATCATGAGCCAACTTGAGAGATATTCATTTCATCCACTGTACACCCGATGGATGGATACATCCAACTTGGAGTGGTGTACGCAGCGGATGGCCAGTCGAAATATGAGCCTAGTGGCTGCAGACCCGGGTTCGACTCCCCGCACCCCTCAATGTTTCACGAATGGTTTTATTTGTGCCATTCCATCCTTCTCCTTCGCCCCTCAAACACAATCTTTTCTTCGCCGAAAGAACGGGGCACACAAAACCCATTGACATTCTCCACTCAAAATTTTTGTCTGGATTCAGACCTCCATGCATCCGATGCCGTTCAAAGGTTGATTTTGGTTTAACGTCTAACTATGCCTACAACTTCGATTCAAACATGCAGCCACTGTCAGCCCCACTTCTCCCGCCTCGCAAGTCGGACCCACCCTCTCACCGTGATACACGGTGCACAGCAGCGAGCTCCCTCCACTTCCGCAATTGCGAAAATGTTAGCTGCAGGTCTGACTCCCCACCTATATCTGAATGTGGCGTTGGTACCTGTTTTTTTCCCCCATTCCTGCTAACAAGTTCGATCGCTCAGTGCTCAGTCCCAACACTGAATATTAGGGCTGACCGTATGTAAACGTATCTGTCCCGTACGAACGTCGAACTGGGTTGATGTACGGCAGTGCCGAACAAAGCCGTACCGTCACAACCGTATACGGCTCCTGACAGCTTTGATCGGCAATCAAGGATTGATCGATTCACATAGAGCCCGAACCTTTCGAAAACCAGCCGACGCAGCTCTTCCCCTAACATTGTAACATGCCTCCTCCCCCGCAACAGGTCTATCTCATCCTGTTTTGCGATGCCCTATCTTATACCTTGACCAGCCCGTTACTATACCTCTTGCTCCGGATCTTCTCGATGCCGTGTGGCCCAACTCTACCCATGACGAACGAGTGAACAATTTCAGCGACATCGTGAATGCCGAAGGTGGCGTCGATGCTGCCATAGCCTACCTTGAACGTCACTACGAATGTCTCAAGACCGGGGTCGTGATAGGCGTACGTCCCCACTTCCCTTTTTTGCGGCGCAAATTCAATAGTATTGCAGGCCACTTTTCCCCCTGCCAACGCAGTCATTCACATGGCCGATGTTGGCCCGCTCAGGCTCTTCTATCATTCGACGTTCCCTGCCCCCCTCCACGTAAATAGCCTGTTCTCGTGGAACTTGTATATCGGCAGGCCCAATCGGGGTCTCGACTCCATTATGCCAGACTGGGAAGCCCAAGGCATCCGCGTCCAAATCCCGAACCTCATCGGCCGTTGGGAGCGTTGCGGAGCGCTAACCATTCTCCCGTCAACGAGGGTCCGAATCACTTATCCCGATAGCAGCGGTCGCGACTTCACGGAAGAGATCATTCTTCCCGGTGACCCCAAGGACGCGCACATTCCCGTTTACCTCCTGCCTCCCGTACAAATGTGATACTGTAGTTGAGCCGCGAAGTTCATGTCGAGCAGATATGTAATTAAATCCGCCTCATTATCACGTCACCGCGCACAATTTTTTGAGTCCAACTAGCCATTGTAGGCGCTTGTGGTACATCGTGCCACCACCGGATTCATCTTCGCGAGGCACGGCCGGAGGCACGCGTGGCGGTCGTTGAGCAGGGTGGAATCGGAGCTCCCGCGCTGTACCGGCACGGCGCACCCGCGCGGTCATCCGTCTGATCGTAGGCGGGGTGTCCGCGAGTATCAGCCCACGCGGTCTCGCTCGCAGATGAAGAAGCCTTCACCTCGGGTGTGGTGCATGGCGCACAGCAGCGGATAATGGATATTTTCTATATATGCCCGTCCATGTACAGGCTGCAGTCCGGGGTTCGAATCCCCGCACCCGAATTTTACTTTGAACTTCTTTCTTTTTCTTTGGATTTACGCAGATAAAGAAACCTGACGTTAGCTGCCTGTTGGGAAAATATATAATAGCCTTGGAACCGCGCGCTCCCGGGCCAAGCTGCAAGAAAAACACAGGGACCCCGGCGACGAGGGATCTCAGCACAAAAGAGTTTGTTGCATCAATCATGCGCCAATTTGAGAGATATTCATTCCATGCAGTGTACACCTGATGGATGCATACATCCAGCTCGCGTGTGGTGCAGGCTCGCGGGAGCGGCAACATTTATACTCCAGTATGTGATATAGTAATATGCACATCAGCTGTAGAGTGAGGTTCGACTCGATGCTCCCGAATGCTGGGTTGGTACATATTTTTTTACCCATTCTGTCTACTAAGTTCCTTCGCCCAATCTCAAAGGGATGGAGAGCTCAAACCGATCATGTTTGTGTCTCGACGGATCGTGGATCAGATTCAGACGCTGTTCAAGTTGCTCAAAGCGGTTTTCTCATTTGAATGAGGATTCATTCCCCCGCTGCAGCCACATCCTCCGACTCCCACCCACCCACACAATTCGGGTGTGGTGCACGGCGCACGGCAGCGGCAGGTGATATATACTTCCAGTATGCATCAACTGCAGCACGGGGTTCGACTCCCCGCACCCGAATGCTGGGCTGGCGCAATCTTTTTTCCCCATCCTATCTAACAAGTTCGTTCGCCCTACCGATCCTAAAATCAAAGGGATGGAGAGATCAAATCGGTGAGATTCTAATGCCCCTAAGTTCTGTCTGAATCTCCACGAGCTGTCCACGAGCCAGATGCCGGTTGATGTTTGGATCGACTGCTGTTTCCTCCAACCGCAGTGGGTCCCAGCTATTTGGACTCCTACCCACCCACTCAATTCGGGTGTGGTGCACGACGCACGGCAGCAGCTCCTTCCATTCGAGGATTCTGAAAATGTTGGCTGTGGCGCGGGGTTCGATTCCCCGCACCCGAATATACGACAACTTCATCTCCAAAGTTTTTTGCTTTGCTTATACCTGAACTATGTTTCAAAGGCCACCCCCTCCAGCCGCACTTTTACTCGAGTCATTACTTTTCCTGTAAAGTGAAGACCAACCGTGGGAAATAGGCAATCGAGACTGCAGTAAGCTCACCCGCTTATATGCATTCGATGTCCAACTTAGATAGTCAACTCGGGTGTAGTGCACGGCGCACGGCATGGGTCGATGATAGTAGACCCAGAGGTGCTGCAGACCGGGTTCCACTCTCCGCACCCGTATCAATGAGGTCCATGGATTTACTTGCTTTCCCGCTTAATTAAATCCTTTGCAGAATCCCTTTATTTCTGTCATGAAAGACCTGATCGTCTTCTCTTTGTTCAAAAATGCGCCTCGTAGAACAACGTGTGCCAGTTCCGGCGACACATGTGTTTTTCCCCATTCCGTCTGACAATTTCATTTCCCCACCCGACCTCAATCTCGACTGGATGGAGAGCTCAAACCGGTGAGAGTGTAAGCGCAAAGGTAAGGGGTGACCGTGAGTCCGCAACAGACCGGATTCGTTCAAGAAGACAACTTGCCCGTTGTTCAGTTTTCATGTCCGGTTACATTTCACATATACTGTACGATACCGTATTCTGCCTGGGAAACGAATCAGAATGCGATTGCGATGGGACACAGAAACACGTACTACTCGGCTGCCAAAAGCTCCTCCCAAGGCGGCAGCTCGAACAAGCTGGGAAGTGCGTCCCACAAGCGCACCCTCCCAGCTTTATATACCTCCTTTGCGGATTTGAGGCAGACTTTGCAGAGGTCAATTTCCTTCCACTCGAACGGCGCGGAGAAGACATCTTTCAGAACGGGAAGTCCACGATTGTCTTTTATCCACTCCTGGCGTGCGCGACCACACTTGAAGCTGTTTCGACATCCACTCGGTCCACTCGGCCCGCGAAATAAGAAAGTGTATAGGCCGCGGGCCCAGTCCTTGTCGAAGGTGGTCATGGCCGTGAGACATTTCTTTTGGTCGGCGCGACTGATGTTGGCGTCGCCTATGGTGGCAATGGGGTAACGGCAGCACTCGTAGTATATGCCGGGTAGTAGTGGGCGAAAATCAATGTCGTAGGCCTTCGCGAGAGCTAGAACCTCGAAATCATCCCTCTCCATCTCCTTGTATCCCTTGGGAGGCTTTCGCGAGAGCCAGTGGTCCAAGGACGATGGATAAACCTTGCTCAAGATTATCGAAATCAATTGTTTGGGGAGGCCTGTCAAGCCGTATATGTCCCCGAGCAGTAAAATATGCTCCAGGTCCGTGAAATTTGCCACGGGGTAACGGTTGAACCACCTAACAGAAGCAATGAGCACATAGGCGCGGCGGCCGTGCGGCCCCCGTGGATACAGAGACATACCTTACATCATCCATTACGGTTAAGAGACGCTCCATTTCACCAGCCGACTCTTCCACAACAACGAGGGGGCACCCGTCGTATTTCTCTTGTGAAGGCGGGAGGTTAGACAAGATGTCGTGGAACTTGGATGACTGGGTGCCCAAGAGACCGCCGTGCACGCGGAAGAGGGTCCTATCGGCCTGGATGACTAACGTCCCATCGTTGTACCAGAGATCTTCAGAGCGAAGAAGTGGGCCCTCCTCGTCGGCCATGGTAGAAACGGAGATATTTATCGATTATCAGAGTTTGTTTTCAGGCCCAACTTTTCACGTGTTCGGCATCTCGGCAATCAACGAGTACTACGGACTCGGAAGTTGGATAGGCAGGAATTGGTGTTTCTCTGGGATCTCAATTGCAGCCATTGGTGTGGTTCGAAAAACGTTACTTTTAGAATGGGAACTCTATATAATACGGTCTAGTGAGAAACTTGGACGGGATCCGATTCCGAATCACAACTATGGAAACTCAAACACACACTGTAAGTAATACCAGCCAAAGATTCCGTCAACACTGCATCCGTGAGTTCTTTGATCTCTTCCATTAGCAGGTCTTTTCCATTACCCGACATAATAAACTCTCCATAGCAGGTCGAAGAAACTTGGAAGATCCTTCCACAAGCGTGCCCTTCCAGCGTCGTACGATTCCTTCGCAGAGTCACGGCACAAATCGCAGAGCACAATCTTGTCCCACTCGAAAGGTGTAGAGAAGACGTCTCCAAAAGCGGGAAACCCATTGGTTTCAATCCAATCCAGGCGTCCTGCATCGCACTGCGCACGGCTTTGGCAACGTCGAGCTCCCTCTAACAGGAAAGAGTAGACATCGTAACGCGAAGTCAATGTTGGGAGAACTTCTGGCTCGTTGAACATAGTAATGGCCAGTAGACACCTTTGCTGGTCGTCATGAAGCATTTCGGCACTGATAATGTCGGCCAGGGGGTACCGACAACATTCGTAGAAGACTCCCGTGAAGAAGCGCGCGTCGAACCTCCCCATGTCTTCGATTTTGAGGACAAGGAAATCGTCACCCTGGAGTTCCCCAAATCCTGGAGGAAACTCCCGGGAGAGCCACGCGTCCAATGTCGGAGGATAGATGGTGACCAGCATTGAAAACATCTGCTCGGCGATAAATTTGACACGATATGCGTTTGCGAGATGCAGGAGACCGGAAAGAGTGGCCATGCTATCGACGGGAGAGGGGTTACGCATCAAATATCTAACGAGTATGAGTGGCGTCCATGCATAGGACTGAGGAATAAATGCGTACCCGGCATCATGGATCGTCAGTAAGAATTGTTCCACATGACGTGGAGAAGCTTCAACTGCGACGATGGGGCATCCGTCGTATGTTCCTTCTGAAGCTGGCTGCGCATTCAAGTTCGCGAGGACTTCACGGAACTTGGACGACTGGTGAGCTAAGATTTCCTGCTTCACGCGGAAGAGCGTATTTTCCGCCTGCAGAACTACCGTCCCGTCTTCGTACCAGACGTCGGTGGAACGAACGAGCGGGATTAGATCGGGCTGTTTCGCGGCCATGGGAGAAGAAAGCGAAGGAGCTTTGTGGTTGTTGATGGTGGCTTGCCTTTGCTGATGTCTCCTCTCCTCCCTCCCTCCCTCGTCCGCAAAAAGCTGACTCGCTGTCCTGAGCCGTGCCTGCTCCTCGGCGTCGACCTGTCGAATCATCCGCAGCATCCCTAACTATCTGCCAACTTACATCACTGTAGGCCTGATGCGTAAGCCTGCCTGTAGACGTATGTCTCCCTCTTTATCGACCGGGCCCGCCCGACGTCCTTACCGTTGAGCAGATTCTGTGCATGAGACACCAACGGGAGTGGGTTCATGCGTGCGTGCGACTCCGAGTCCTACGTTCTCAATCTCCGTCGAAAACGCCTTCACCGTACGCCTACCATCGCATCGGGCGCTGAATCTCGTTTGAGAGCTTGCTTACCCGTCCCCATCCCCTCCTTGCGCTGCGCCAGCCCCCGTAGTACATGCGGCCAACGCGCATCCGGAGCTCCGGGGCGTCCCAGTGCCTACGTCCTGTGCACGCGGAAGACGGCGCTATGCGCCGCGCGGCTTGGCGATGACGGGACCACGGCTGCATGCCCGAACCGTGCGTACGCACGCCACCCATTATCGGACGATCTGAGCCTCTCCTACGCCCGCCCCCCGCACGTCTTGGAGGCGGCTGCGGCAATCCTCCGGCTGAGGGCGAGCTCTCTGAAGGGCGGCAATTCCTTCCAACAGGGGCGTGAATGCGGTGGATGCGCGTGCGGCTACTCGCCTCCTCACGACCTCCACGCGCGCTTGGGAAAGCTGCGGCAGGCATGACCTCGAGTCTCCGCGACTCGTGTACCACACTCGCGCCCGAGGTCCAATCACCCTTCCGACTTCTGCACTCGCGATCCGCCGTGAGGGACGGACGTGCTCCCTCCCATATAGGTTAAGCGACCTTGCTTGCCACACCGTTGATGGCCACGAGCCAATTCTATGCCGTCGCTTGAATAGCTTCTTCTTCGTTTTTCTCTGGGTAAATTTTATATAATGATGCCCAATAATGTAC